CTATTTAGAAAAAGTTTTTATTTACAGCAAATCATTCAGTATTCCTTGGGATTCCTTTTAAATGAGATTCTAAGGTCAATAGATGCCTTCAGTGTTTTATTTCCAAATAATGACCGTCTTGGCACCTTGCTGACATGACCCTTGTGTGTGTCCCACACTTAGACTTTAGGGGGAAGGAACTGTTAACAGGCCAAGCAGGGCAAACTGAACACTGCCCTCTGCTTCTCTTTAGTAAAACCTTTACAGTTTTCTATTCTTTTTATCATGTATGACAAATTCAATGTCACCAACTTTTTCAAATCCTGCTAGAAGTGTTCTTACAAATATCCCATGAAATTGCATTACATTCATATGTTACATTGGAAACAAGTAGGACATTTACAAGGCTGAGCATTTGTATCCAGAAGCGTGGAATGTTCTTCATGTTTCCTATACTTGGGACATGGCTTACATCTCTCTCTATGCTTCTTGCTGACATGAAGTCTGCTGCATGTAACATTTTCTTACAGACTTGTAGACTGTCTTTCTACTCATTTCCATGCTCTGGCAGTTACCAGGAAGAGCTATTTTTGTTTTAAAAATCAATATCTACCTTTATTAATTACAACGCCTTTAAGATTGAATATCAAGGTTTACCTAAACGAAAAGTTGACATTCCATATACCTCCTGGGAATTTTTAATGCCTGCATATAGAAAAGGATTAACTTTATTGGCTAGTGTTCCCTGAACTCTGGCAAATGAAAGTGGCTTGAGTAGGAATTCTGGGATTTAATGGAACTCTGATGAAAAGGTCATATCCATACGAATGTTAGATAAACTTAGATATTTACTAAGAATCTTTTCTTCATCCAAATCAATTGATTGAAAATTGAGGATGAGTTGTTCTAGTTCCTATGACGTCTGTATTTCTGCTGGCTTCTGTACAACTGTTATGTATGAAAGCAGGCACTGGATGTGGACATGAAGCATTTTCTACAGACTGCATCTTCATTATAGGGGGTATCTTTTACTAACATCACCCCACTGCTCCATTTTGAAGCTTTTCTCCTTCAACTCTCTTTTCTACAATGCTAATGTTATTATCTCTATCAACTGGATCTGTCTCATATACTTAAGATAGTTCTTTTACCTTTAAACACATCAAGTAAAATACATTCTAGTCCTACAAATATAACAAATAGATATAAACATAATATATATGCATAAATAAACATGCATGCATTTCCACATACAGACTAGAAATATAGCTTTCTAGGATGGAGATATATATATATCTATATCTGTCTTTCTTCCTACCATTCTGAAGACTGAACCCAAGGTCTTGACATACACAAGGCTAACTGTTGACCATGGAGTCATAACCCTCACACCCATCTTCATTTCCAAACCCCAAATTCATTGGCATTAAAATAAGCATGTAATAGCCGGACGGTGGTGGCGCACGCCTTTAATCCCAGCACTCGGGAGGCAGAGCCAGGCGGATCTCTGTGAGTTCAAGGCCAGCCTGGACTACCAAGTGAGTTCCAGGAAAGGCGCAAAGCTACACAGAGAAACCCTGTCTCGAAAAACCAACAAAAAACAAAACAAAACAAAACAAAAAAATTAGCATGTAGTGAAGGTTTTTTTCTTTTTAATTGTTTAATTGGGGTTAGGGGTTAAATTGTCTTTATAAATGCTTACCTTACCCATACCAGTCCTTTCTCTTTTATGTTAGATTTTTATTGCAGGTGTTTACAGACTCTTAGTTTTATAGGAATTTTATTTTCCTTTATAATTGAAATAAATCATGCTGGGGACTAGTAGAAAGAATACAAACAGAAGACAGAGAGCTTCTGAGCTGTCTCTGGCTCCTCAGTGAGGTTTCTAGTTGTCTTGCCACAAGAAACCATGCTGTCTGGACTGAAAGCTCTTGGAGATTAGAGCTCAACATCTAAGATTTGACTGGATAACACAGGCGATGTCTCTTATCATTCAGCCTTCAGGAGACACTGTGTTCTGTAAAATCTATGGGCAGTTCATTCCTTGTTAAGTAAATTAGGTGGCCACCTGAGATATCATTCAATTTAAAGCTTATTCAAAAACAAAAACATTTTAAGCTGCCTTATATGTATACCATCCTGCCTTCTAACTAGATTCTATCGGATTACAGCAGGAATAGTCACTAGGGATTTCTGCACCCCAATCCACCTGAAGGGTGTTCTCTCTGGCAAGCGCTACTCACTGTGTGCCTTACCTCCTTGTAGGTTAGACTAAACACAGAGCTCACCCGAGTTTTCCAGTGATCATGTTTGCAGGCTCTTCCTCACCTTGGACAGAATGGCTGACTTGCTCAATGACAAACTTGAGCCTTTCAGACTCCTCCCCATGCAGAGCCCTCTAGTCAGGCGGCTTTTGCTATGAGAAACCAACTCTCTCTCCAACTTTTAGGGATTCTTCCCTGGTTTCTGGTTTACTTAGCCACAACTAGCTGACTAGAAGGAAAAAAGACTCAACACAGAAACCACTATCGACATTAAAACCCCTCTCCTCATTCAGAAGTGGGCTGTATTCACGGTGATGGCTGTGCTTCCTATTTCCCTCTTTGGTGCTTCACGTCTCTTAAACACACTAAGATAACTCAGAGGGGTATTCATTTATTTCCACTCATTCATTCAAGTTGGAGGGAACTTCACAGATCACATCAATGGACCTCTGCCACAGAGATGGCCAAACATTGGAAATTTGGTGCTGGAGAACTAACAGGGTAATATGATTGACTATAATGAAGGTGAACCATAAAGGTAAAATGGATGTAAAATTTCAGACAGTTTCCTTATTTCTAGCTCCAAAATACTTAACAGCAATGAAGTGGATTCCAAGGAAACACAAAGCCAGGCACACACATCAGCTCAAAACCACAGCAAAGAACATGCTTTTCACCCACCCACTGGACGCTTTCAGAATCAGCTAGGGTCCCAAGTCTTTATGTTTGTGAAAGTTTTCGTTTCAAAATTGCATTTACATGAGAACTGAGAGAGAGGGTGGGAGAGAGAGAGAGAATGAGAGCAAGCGAGAGCTCTTGTCCCAGTGCAACGCTGTTGGTGGGTCTACACCATTTCCTCTGTTCTAGGAGAGAAGGTAGCACATGGTTTCTGCAGGCATAAGTGATGCTTAGAGGAAAATTAAATCACGGAATGATGGCGGGGCTGATTATTCTACTGCGCTTTAAAGGCAAGAGATTGCAGTCTTCGAGTCCAAAGTGGTTTCATATGGACTGCCGCAGCTGCGGTTTACTCTTGAAACTATAACCTGTCAAATTAGAAGCAGGCAAGGCCTCCGCTCTTAATGGTTCACTTTCTTTCTGCTTCTACTGTCTGCAGTTATGTCTACAAGTCTATCATTTTTTATTCAGTTCAACTATGCCATTTGGATGAGTACAATGTGGAAACTACTTGTCATCTTGGCAGGAGAAGATTCTAGTATGTTACAGGCTTAAATAAACTCAATTGTGGGCTTGCTCTCTAGATAAGGCTGACTTCTGCTGTGAGTTTGCTGCTGTTTCATTACTTGGATAACACTGCAATGTATGATACTGGAAAGTAGTTCCGATGTGTGAGCTCTGGAGGGGTTTTGGCTTCCGGAGACCTGACTGACTATACCGAGTCAACACCCTTCCAGCTCTACTCTGCTGTTAGTAGGATTACAGAATGTTCCACTCTCATTCCCTCCCTTAACTGTGGAATGGCCTTCAGGCAATTTACTTGTTTAGCTGAGATCTGTCCCAACTAAATTGAAAAGTCAGGTGTTTACATATAACTCTGGTAGAGTCCTCCTTTCCTGGCTTTCTCCATGCTTGTCTCATGATATGAAATATTAGAAACTAAGGCACAAACACTTTGCTCCCTAAGCAACGCATCATAAGTGAAACCATTCCCTACAAAATCACATCCTGTTGAGGCCATAATGACTTCAGAAATACGTGTTTATCATCTGCTTTAGAAAACTTAGCATATTTTTGGCCCACGGCAAAGCTGAAGTAAAACCATTTGTAGTTGCCTCAAAGCAAGCTAACCACACTTTCCTAGGTAATTGATACCTAAGAGGATACTGCCTTCAGATCACAGCCCAGGATCTAGGCATGCTAATTCTTTAAAGAAGGTTGTTAAATTTACAATGCATGGATGTCAACTGGGCTTCCTCCAGAACTCAACTGCAATAATTCCCCTTTTAGCACGCATAGAGACTACAACGAAATAGGCATTTAGAAACTCCCTTGGAATTCTGGAATTACCTCTCTTGCCCAATTTAAAGAGAAGGGGGAAACTGAGATTCCTTTTTGAATGTAAAGCATAATAGTTGTAGTGAGAACTAAGAATACTACCATGTGTTTTGGAAGGCACTCAAATGAAATCAATCATTACTTTCATTTTTCCTGGAGTGTATTTAAAGAAGCAGTGATTTAAAGTATAGATAGCTAAGGTAAACAGAAGACATACAATTTTTATATTCATTGTGAAAACATGTGTAGGGAATGCAAATATGTCACTTGCTTTCTGTGACAGTGATGTAAAGCATGTAGCTTCCCTGGACACCACCTCAGCCAGTGAGGCCAACCACAGCCGCCAACAGCAATCTGAAAGGCAGCTCTTCACTCGGTGTGCCAAGACAAAAGCACTAAGAATTACCTTTGCCCTGGAGGAAACTGGATAATTTGGAAAAAAGAAAAGTTAAGTAAATATTTAATCTAAAGTAGCCTGAATGGAATAAAACGCAATAGCAAATGTCAGATCCAGAGAAGGGAATCCTTGCCACTTCCAAAGAGGAAAACAGAGAATTAAAACTCAAGATGTTTCTCTAAGTTGAGTGTGGAGGCTAAGCTTCCCTTCCCAGGGCTTGCTCCTGAGTGTGCTGTCCAGACAAAGTCACTGATCTGGACAGTCAAGGACAGTGGACCACAACCCGAGATCACAGACACTGTGCTGGGCAGTTTACTGCTGTGAAACACAAGAACGTGCCATACCTCCATTCTTTCCTGTTTAACATCGTCAAGTTCGTTGTCTTCAAACATTGCCAGAAGCTCTCCTGTCTGGTCAATAGAGTTGATCAAGTCCTGAGCGATCTTCTGTCTCTTGTTTGTACTGCTGCTGCCACTCAGTTTTTCTTCATGAAGATCAGAAACAGAGAAAACAAGGCCTGAGCATGGTCCATTAGTCAGCATATGTAACAAACATTGCATGTGACATTCACTTACAATCATTTTTACAGAGAAAACTCTTGCCTCTAAAACAAATCATACAGAAATCAATCACTTCCTAATACCACAAAATAAAAAATAGAATCAAATCACATTATTAATTACCATTGAAAGTTGAATCCTTTATGAAAGGAAGAGGAGCTCTCAGGCTTGGCAAAGAATACTGTTTTGTAGTACTTATAAGAGAAATAAAACACAACCAGGAAAGAGGGTGTGCTAGGTAAACACAAGCAAAGAAGGCAGAATCCACAACTATTAATGTTAGAAAACATAGTTCATGACCAAAATTGCTACATGTGACAGAGTGAAATATTATCTAATGAAAAAGGAAGACTAACAGGCATACTCTTCCCCCCCCCCCCCCCCCCCCCCCGCCCCCCCCCCCCCCCCCCCCGAGACAGGGTTTCTCTGTGTAACCATCTTGGCTGTCCTGGAACTCACTCTGTAGCCCAGGCTGGCCTCAAAGTCACAGGGATCTACCTGCCTCTGCCTCCCCAGTGTTGGGATTAAAGGCATGCATCACCACTGCCCGGCAGGCATAATCTTTTATAGAATCAAGATAACAGAAAAAAAATATCACAAAAGGAAACCTATTCAAAATGTACTCAATGAAAGATACTTGAATGCATTTCTTTCAAAATTTGACAATTTATGTTAAGGCCCCCCAAAATACAAGTGCTTCGGCACCTATGTTAGCACCCAATAGAAACAGGGGAGTCTATTTTCTCAAGTCGTTTTGTCCTGAAATAAAAATTTTAATGAACACATATACTCACAGCAAAGCTGGGGATGCAGCTGTGCAAGGCCCTGTGTCTGATCCCCAACATCAAGGGGGAAAAAGAAGGACAGAAATATACACACCCAACAACATTGCATGTACTGCTTTCTCCAACATCCTTCTTCCCTTCCTTCCCTCCCTTCCTCTCTCCCTCCTCTTTATGTTACCCGCCAATCTCCAACTCAAGACATAACTCATGATGGCCATCCTCACATGACCACCATACATTTCTCTGTGCTCACATATTCACAATATATTTCTGTACATATGTGTTCTCTTCATTCCCTTTAAAAACAGGCTCTTACAGCCTTTCTTTACGAAGAGGGGTTCTTATATCCTCTCTTGTGTCCATGTGTCCCAGCTGAGGACAGAGAAAGATCTCTCTCTCCATCTTCATGGATAAAGCCTGATTCTTCTGAAAGGCCTGAATAAACATCTATATCCTATAGTATCTACTAACTGGCTTTCAATCCATCCTCTGTTGATGGGCAGACATTTGCACTGGGGAAATGCTCAAGAGGTATCTCATTCATAGGTGTGCTCTGTCCTCATGGCACAACTTTCTAAGAGTGGAAATGTTAGAGACACTTCACATTTCATGAAAGCAATTCTGAAGCTGTTTTCTCCTACATTTCTTCTCAGAACTCCAGCAAACATCGGATGAATCTATTAAATACTGTAACGTTAACCCTATAATCAACAAGGGATTTCACTGAGCCTGACAAGCCTGTTTTCCATCTGTGTTCATCTGTGCTAACAAGGGCTTTTTCCTTTGGTAAACTGGAGAGCATCTTTGGTACGGAGTACTCTAAAATCTTTATATTGTTGTTCTTTTTAACTTTTGACTTCTCCCTACTTCCTCAGAGAGTAAAGTTTCAAAGTTTATTTTTCAGATTTACTATTTCCTTCATTTTGTTTTTTATCTTTATGCATCTAGAATTTATTTTATATATAGTTAATACTATATCTTCACCTTTAGAGTCTTTAAAATATATGTACAGCACCATTTTTATGTTTTCCTGTTGTACTGAAATTTTGTCATAGCTCAAACATCATGTCTTAGATTTTGTTTGTAGACTTTCCAGCCTTTGCCAACCTTCCATGCACAAAGTCCTCAACGATACCACAGGATTCATATATACACTTACTCTTCTATTTCATACTTTCCCAAGACACATATGGGCATTTCTTGCTCCATAGGAAAGCTAGAATATTTTTGTATGACCCCAAGAAAATATTACTGGAATTAAACCTAAAGCAGTGTGAATTCATTAATTTTGGTTGGACTGATATATTTAATGTTTCAATTCCACTGTCCATTTTTATAGTTATTCCTAATTTTATCCACTCCTCTAGTCAATGTTAATAGGCTGCTCCCCATGTTAATTCCAAGGACTATTTTCCTGAGTTCTCCAGGTGACTGTGCAAAGCACTGTGATACTCATCACATCTTTAGGCTGCTCATGTTGATCCCCAAATATTCAGTAATATGCTTCCTAAGTAGCTTAGATGGGGGTTATTATCCATGAACAATTAAAGATTAGTGAACTAAACCCTACTAGGTAGCTACTCTTATTTCAAGTGTAAACCTTTCTGGCCAGTTTCACTTTTTTTGTTTTTAAAGTATTCTGTGGACATAGGGAAGAAACACAGATGACTGTTGATACTCCACTCGAAGGAAATAAGATCTAAGCACTCGTAATCTGGCACTTGGCTGGTTGACTAGTTAGTGGCTACAGGTGTGTGACACTAAACAGGTAGTTCTCAACCTTTCCAGTGCTGCAACTCTTTAGTGCAGTTCCTCATACAGTGGTGACCCCAACCATACAATTATTTCAGTGATACTTCCTGACTGTAAGTTTGCTACTGTTATGAATTGTAATGTCAATATCTGATATGCCACCCCTGTGAAAGGGAAGTTCTACCCCTATGTGGGTCACGACACACAGATTGAGAACTGCTGCACTCAACAGTGTGCCTTCTATAATCTTCTTTTACTTTGCAATGTTTGAATATAAAATTCTGAGTACAATGCTAACATTATCTCTTTTTTTTCACATTTTTATATACACTCATCAAACACTTATTGGACACCTCATTTTGTAATCTTCCAATTTACTTTTGTTGACATTTGTGATTTTTATTTCTTCCTTTTTTTTTTAACAATACTTCATCCACGTTGATAAACCTTCCATTTCTTCTTTGTTAATTTGAAATTTTAATATACTTTTCTGTTCTATTAATGTTTGTTTTTTCCCCTCTGTATTTATATTATTAAAAGTCCTGCTGTTCTTTCTTTTTTGAGGTGTGTATTGCATGTGCACACGGTGCATTCTGCACACATGTGCGCTGGTATGACTCCCTGTATGTATGTGTACATGCCAAAAGCCATCCACTATCCTTCTCTACTGTTCTCTGTGTGTTTCTTTGAGGCATGGTCTTATTCTAAGATAAAACTATTGGAGCTGGGGAAATGGCTCTGTAGGTTAAGGTCCTAGCCATGTAGGCCTGAAGGCCTGGGTTTGGATCCCCAGAACCTACAGGCAAGCTGGAAGCAGCAGTGTAAACAAATGTAATCCCAGTGCTCAACAGCTCTACCAGGAGATGGGAGGTTGAGACAGAAGACTCCAGAAACTCACAGACCAACCAGTCGAGCACATGCAACAGTGAACAAGCTGGGTTCACTGACAGGGAAAGGACTGATACCCAAGGTTGTCTTCTGACCTCCACACTCGTGCCATGGTGTAGTAGAATATGAGATTAAGGTGTGTTACTTTTGTTTATGTTGCATTTGTTTAACTCTGTGAAGCTGTGTTACTTTTACCTGTCTAAAACACCTGGTGGTCTAATAAAGAACTGAACGGCCAATGGCGAGGCAGGAGAAAGGATGGGCAGGGCTGGTAGGCAGAGAGAATAAATAGGAGAAACCTGGGAGGAAAGGAAAAAGAAGTAGCTAGAGAGGGAGAAGGATTCCACAGGCCAGCCACTCAGCTACACAGCAAGCCACAGAGTAAGATTTATAGAAGTAAGAGAACAGGAAAAGCCCAAAGACAAAAGGTAGACAGGATAATTTAAGTTAAGGAAAGCTGCCTAGAAATAAACCAAGCTAAGGCCAGGCATTCATAATTAAGAATAAGAATCTGTGTGTGATTTATTTGGGAGCTGAGTGATGGGCCCCTCAAAGGAGAAGAAACAAATGACAGCACTATGGCATGTAGGTGCCTGTACTACACACATACAAGACAAAACTACTGTTGTATTTATTAATATATTTACAAAGTTGATTTGAGCTGGGGGGACAAGTTAAGGGCCCTGGCATGGTAACATGAACTCTACAACTGAGCTACACTCCTAGCCAGTTTAAAAGCAAAATATAACTCAGAAAGTTACTGGAAAAGGTCATAGGGGAGTCATTAAATGCTGCAGCTGGTGGTTAATACAGAGTAACAAATGAAGTTATCAGTGAGACCTAGGGAGTGAGAAAGAACTAAAATATTTTTCATTTGACGAATGATGGTTATACATACCAAATAAAGACATCTGAAGCATTGTCAAATGTAAGTACTGATTATCTGCTGTCTGCTATGAATATGTTAATAAATGTTTAGAATAATAAGTATGCTTATCATGAAAAAAATAATTTTAGAAAAAAAATCTTTATAATTATGTGCCTGCTAATTTAAATCATGGCTTTTAACCTTTAATGAAAACAGAAGCACATTTTAAGTCAATCTTTGCCTAAATTATGTAGCTCTAATCAAGGTATTAGTAATAAATCCATACATTATTTTTTCAGGGTAGAGTCTAGACATAGATCTTCTTCATACAGCAGCTAACTCTTTAGACAAAAGATATCAGTTGAAGCCAGAAGCTAATGAAGTCAATGCTGGAGGAAGATTCTAGAAGTGAAGTCCACACAAAAATCATACAAGTTACTTAAAACATTACGAGATTTGTGTGTGTGTGCGCATGCATGTGGGTGTGATTTTTCCTTTTGATTGTATCTTGATTGTTTAGTCTAGGAGTAACCTTTGCAGAAGACAATGTCCTACTGCAACCAGAAGAGGTTTGAAGGGCTGTTTTAGATGATTTCCTCAGGCAGCCCTCTGTTTCCAGCTCCAGGTAACCACTCCAGGCTGCTGTCCCTCTGCTGCTACCTGACAATCTGGGACATGTGGTCTTTGGGATGGGCTTCTACTTTATCCACATATGAGCATGCCAGTGTTCAATTCCACTTTATTGCTCTAAGTATTTCCTGCATTAATATTCTATATTTATTTATGTCTTTATATGTTGGCAGATATTGGGCTGATTCTAGTTTTCTACTGCGAAATATGCTGCTTTTCATGTTCATGTGAAATTTTTCGTGTGAGGACATTTCTCTTCATTTAGCTTTACTATGTACTGAATGGCTAGTTCACTGTCTGTTAATCTTGGTGAGAAGCTTCTGGGATATTTTCTGAAGTACCTGCACTGTTTTACCCTCTTCCTAGTATCATAAGCTAAAGCTCTTCACAGCCTCAACAGCATTTGCCTTCATCGGTCTGTCAGTCACAGACATCCTGGTAGGTGAGGAGGAGGCTATTATTGCTGATTTGCATGTGCACTCTAGCTCAGGACAATGACCATCTTTTTGGCATCTATTAGCAATTCTGGCGTCTATTAGCAGATTTTTATTTCTGCTGCAAGATTTTCTCAGCTCCTTTGTCCATTTTTAAACTGATTTATTGTCTTTATTATGAAATTGAAGAATTCCTTGCACATTTTGCCTACAGATTTCTTAGCAGAGATATGCATACAAGACTTTCTCCTTCTGTGTTTTCTTCTGCATGCTCTTTGAAGCACTTTGAAGGCTTCAAACTCCATCAATTCTAATTCAATAGTGGTTTCCTTGGCTGTGATGCTTTTGGTGTCATGTATTCAAAATACTGTCCTCATACAAAGCTGCCAACAGGTATTCCTGTGAAAAACATTCTATTTGGCAGTCCAGAGATGGTTCCAGAGGTAAAAATGCCCGCCATCAAACCCGATGATCTAAGTTCAACCCCAGGACCCACATGGTAGAGGGAGAGAACCAATTCCTGCAAATTGAATTCTGACCTCTGCACACTCACCATGGAATATACACTGCCATACATAAAACAAGGAAATGAAGATAGAATGAAAATGAAAAAAAGCATTTTGTATTCTGAGCTACTACAATGAGCTCTCAATGATCTCTACTGTAGGTTTTTTGTTCTTCTGTTTGTTTTGGGGGCATATTGCATCCGGAAGGGATCAAATGATTTCTTCTCTATGTAGATCTCTAGATGTCACAGAGGCCTTCATGTCTCTAGTGGAAGGAGCTGTTCCTTCCACATGGAACTGTCCTGCAGGCTATGTTGAGCATCACTGAGCCTCTCTGTGAGTCTCACTTGGGCTCTTTGTTCTGATGCACTGACCAGCATGGACCCTGTTTGTATTGTGGTGGACTCACAACACAGTTTTGAAGTCAGCAAGCTTGAATCCTCCAACTTTGCTGCTTGTTGAGATGGTTTTGACTGTTCTGGGTCACGTACAAATTAGAAAATACATCTTTTCCTCTCTAGAATCTGACATTTCCACACGAATGCCAGAATCAGTCTGTTCATTTCATCAAAAGCTGGCGCAATCTATAGCTCCAGCTGAGGATGGCTATTGCCTTCACAATCCCAAGCATTCCAGCCGTGAACACTGGCTACTTTTGAGTTTCTTCTCAGTCTTCTCTCTCTCAACAGTGATCTCTAGTTTCTATGTAGAAATCTTGTAGGTCACTGGCAAAATTTAGTCCAAATAGTTTATTCTTTGTGATGCTGTGATACATGGTATTACTTTCTTTCTTTTCCTTTTTTTGATATTGCTTTCTTCATATCTTGGGTTGTTTGTCCTGAGTATAAGGAATGTGTACTCACTTGTTTTGTTTACATATTTATCTTGTATCCTGAAAATCCACGAATGTGTCCACCAATTGTAACAGTTTTTAGTAAGTTAAGACATTTTTCTATATAAAGAGCATTCAGATGCAAACATAGCTTTACATCTTCCTTTCTAATCTGAGTGCTTTCTTTTCTTTTTCTGCCTAAACATGATGGTAAAACTTTTGTACAATATTGCATAGAAGAGGAACAAGTGCACAGTCTTGTTTTATTCTTGATGTTGGGGAGGAAAGACTCCAATCTTTCATGTAAGCCTGCTGTTTCTGAGTATCCTTGGTTAGTCTAAGCTGCTATAAAATAAACTGTAGACTGGGAAGTTTAGACAACATTTACTCACCTGAGTTCTATAGGCTATGGCACTCTCTACACCTGGTGTCTAATGAAGGCCTCTTTTTAACAGATTTAAGTTCTGGGTGTCTCTTTTTAGAAGTACACTGACCCCATCCATAAGGGGTCACCTTCTATGATCTAACAACTTCCCAAAGGCCCCCAGCAACCCTCTCTTATGGCTTTCATGATTAGCTCTGACTTTACTAAACTGTGTATCAGTATAGGTAAGTTTGAGTTTATCCTAATGGAGTTTGTTAGTTTGTTTAGATACTTGGACATGTGTTTAACAATTTTCATAAATCTGAAGAGTTTTGACTCACTACTTCTTGGAATTTTTTTCATCCTCTCTCTTTCTCCCTCTCTTCTTCTCCTTCCCTTCTGATATATATTATACTGATGTATTAGTATACTGTATACTTCTTCTCTTCTAATATATTACATGCTGATGTTTTAGTGTACTGTATACTCCTTCTCTTGTGATATATTATACTGATGTTTTAGTGTACTGTGTACTCCTCTTGTGATATATTATACTGATGTATTAGTGTACTCCTTTTCTTGTGATATATACTGATGTATTAGTGAACTGTGTACTCCTCTTGTGAAATATTATACTGATGTATTAGTGCACTGTATACTCCTTCTCTTCTGCTATATTATATGCTGATGCACTTGAATTTCTTTGAAGCTCTGTCCACTTCCTTCCTTTTCCTGGTTCTTCAGATTACATCATCTTTAAGGTAAGCTCATTGGTTTTTCTTCTGCCAATTCACAGCTTCTGATGTGCTAGCTTTTAACTTCCTTACTGTTCTTTAGTGATTAATTTTGTGTGTGGGTGTGTGCATATGCCAAGGCATTTTGTCAGAGGATTAACTGCCAGGGTCTGTTCTCTTTCCACAATGTGGCTGAGTGTGGGTCATTAGACTTGGTGGTCAGTGCTGCCTCCTAAGCTAGCTCATCACTTACTGTATTCACGTTGAAACTCCGTTATTATACATTTTAATCTCTTTCTTCTTACTGTATATTTTGTGAGGCATGGTTTTCATACTTTCCCATTCTTCTCTGAATATAATTTCCTTTATTTATTTGAACACACTGTAATGATTACTTTGCATTTTTTTGCCTGCTTAATCCAACATCTGGATTACCAGAAGGCAATTTTTGTTATCTACTTTTCATGTTCTGTTTTTCAAATAGACCGTATGTGTCTTTACACATCTAGTGTTTTGTTGTTGTTGAAAATGGACGTTTTAGATGATATACCACAGTCACTCAGGCAACCATTTCTTCCTTTTGGTGGGCTTGTCCTTGACTGCTTCTTTCCTCAGTGAGTTGGCTAGACTGGGCAGACATTCTCTTTAGAGTGTGTTGCCTCTGACATCGCTCAGCCCCACGGTGCAGACTGTGTGTGCATCCTCTTCTCTCACCAGCTTTACGGTACCCTTGGCTGTCACTTTTCAAGCTCCCAAGAAGCTTCAGGCTGGTCGGACTGAGTACCACACATGGCTACTAATTCCCAGGAACTGCAAGCTGGCTGTTAATGCTTTGTTTGCAAAGATTTGTTTATTATTTTAAATAGTATTTAGGTTTCTGTGTGTGCACATGTGTGTGTGCTTGTGGGTATGTGCATGTGCCCTCAGAGGCCAGAGGCCCTGGATCCCCTGGATCTGGAGTTACAGGTGGTTGTGAGTTGCCTGACATGGGTGGTGGGAACCAAACTCAGGTCCTCTGAAACAGCAGGAAGTGCTCTTTGCCCCAGAGCTACTGCTTTTGACACCACTGCAGGGAATGAACTCTCCACATTTTAGCATGCCTATGTTGATCCCTTTGTTTCGCTGTGGCCTCAAGAGTGCTGTCCTTAGCTCTTCCTCCTGGTCCCCTCTGTTGAACATCAAGTTGGCCACTCTTTTGCTTGCTGCTGTACCGTGGATCTCCTAGCTTCTGTTTGTTGCTAGGATTGCCACTTAGAGGTCCTGGGTATGAACTTCCAAATAACTTCTGCTCCAAATAACTTCCTTAAGGAAGTGGCAAAGTTCTCAGTTCTTAAGGGCTGCCTCTCTCTGCACTGAACCTTGGTAGCATACTAGACCTGTTGGAAAGCAGTGTACACCACGAAAAGAAGGGCCTGAGATACTTGAGCCCTATGAGGTTCCAGAAGAGAAAGTCACAAGGTTAAATTGCCAACAAGTGCCAGATTGTATTAAGGGAAAGAAAGACATGGGAAGAACTTCATGACACATCTGGGTGCCTGCGCTGACACTTTGGGGTTAGTGTTTTGTCTAGTCACCTTCCAGGAGGTCATCCTCGTCAAGGCCTTTGATGATCTTTGATTTGTAGTCTCGGATAAACATGTATTTCAGAAGTCTTCTAAGTTTTTTCTGTTGAAATATAAAGTAAGAAGTTTATAACACATTTTCTTTACTGATAAAAGATTGCTTTAAGATTAAATTTAATAAACTAGTACCTGATGATATTGGGGAAAATAGAACTATCATTAGCTTAATAGTATAAGCAAAGAATGTAGCCCTTCAATAATAGCTAAGATGTAAGTGTTTATAAAGGCGTTTTCCACACACATCCATCCAGACATTCCAGAATCACAAAATAATGCTTTTTTGTATATTTTAGAAAACATCTTAAATTCCTTTTGATGATTTCAATAAATACCATATTGCCTTTGGTAAGCCAAGTGTACTTATGCTTTGGAATTTTGTATATACTCTGAGACAAAAATTATGTAAAATAGATTTATAAACATCTAGACTAGGAGTTTTTAACAACTAATTTTTATATTTAACTTTTGAGATAAGACCTTGTTGTGTAGCCCAGGCCGAACTTGAGCTTGTGATCTTCTTACTTCAGCTTGCCTAGTGCTGAATAACAGGAATGCATCAGCACGCTGGCCGGGGAATCTTCTCACAGGAAAGAAAGCACGGAAAGCATCTCTAAACCAGGACTGTGGGAAACTCTGAGCTGCCTGACTGGTAGGTGTTAATGACGCCCTCTGGGCATCTAGAGGAGGAGGATGCAGTACTTCACTCTGACCATCTAATGATGCCTTGCAGCTTGTTCTGGGCTAACCCTAGATGTATTTTCTCTGGTCACGATCTTCAGGGTTTGGATTCCTAACAGTGGAAACAGTGCATTGTACAAAGCTCTTTACACGAACATCACTCAACATTTTCAATACCCCTGAGGTAGAAACAGATCCCTCTCTCTTTCCCCGAGGGACCCTGAGGCAGACTACAGACTGATGACTGAAGCTCAGCAGGGCCTGAAGTAGAGGATAGCCTCTGAGTCGAATTCTGTCATATACAAGTTCAAGAAAGCCTACCTAACATGCCTGCTGCACAGGAGTCATGAGAGACCAGGGGAGACTGTGTCCCATAATAAGGAAAGCACAGGAGGTGGTATAAACCACCGCTTGGCTACAAACTCCAACTACTAAAAAATAATCACATTGCATCCCACAAGGTCTTGTTTTTCATTTTTTCTCCCTTTTCTCTTTGCTTTCACTACACCCATTATTTTAGTTTTATTCTGTTTAGTATTTTTCCTATATAAGCTACTTTACATTCTTTTTGAAATACTTTAAAATATAAATAAAATTATTTGAGAAAGATGAGAAGACTAACAACTATTCTGTTATAAACATGTTGCTGGTTGTTCAAAATAATCTGGTTAAGAGTCCTGGATACCAGGAAAACACCATCAAATGGCATATATTCCTGAAGTTTCTCTAGTAAAAAATGGCCACCTTCCTAACAAGGGGAAGGAGTGCCAATGTGGACTGCGTGAGCTTCTCTCTCTGTCTGTCAGTAAAGAGGAAATGCTGCTGGGAAGAGCTAAGCGGCCTTATTTTTGGCAGCAGCCTTCAGGAGTTCTGGCCCAGCACTACTGTGGGTGCTGACTGCTCCTCCTTAAGGACCCTCCCAGTACAAAACAAACTGGCAATTCCTACCATCTCTCCTCCTCACTGTCTCCATAGACATGCTTGGAGCCACCATAGTAACTAGACATCCTGTCAGGTTCCCCACCTTTGGTCTGTGCCCTGGAAGGCCTCAGTCACAATCTGTCATAATCTTCCCACACCAACCCTCTTTCCCCATCTAATCATCCAACCTATGAAATTCTCCAAGTCTTATGCTTCAAGCATATCGCACAGACTGCCTCAAGTAGACTCCAAGCTTTTTGATATTGAATGCATTTCTTTTTCTTTAAAAATTCTTTATATTAATAAATGGCCGGTTATTAAGACTGGTAAAGGAGCATAGAATTTATTTAACTAGCTTCTTATGTAAAATTATAACATAAATAGACATACAAATATCAGCTTTAATGTCTTAATATCCAGAGTTTGGAGTTTTTATTAAAAAAATTGAAATGATGGTAGTTTTTAGCTACTTGCACTAATTTGCTTATTTTTAGAAGTCAGTGCAGAGAATAAACTTTGTATTTCCAGTTAAAGGCGATGCTGTGAAAGTCTGAACTCTATGAGTATTAAGATACAAACTGAGAGGAAAAAGAAATGCCTACTCAGAGAGAGCCCAGTCACAGGAGCAGAGCTCAGCTGGTACCCAGGGACACGAAAGAGCTGGCAGTGAAACTTGTCTTCGCAGGTACAGGAGGAGGAAGGGAGAACTGTGCGGCCTTGTCACCAGAGGTGTGCTCGTGCACAAAGCAAACACCTCGGTAGGAAATGCTTTTTGTTGTCTAACTCGGGAAAGCTCAACACCGCTGCAGAGGTTGTGATTCTCATCCGAAAGCTGTAACAAGTCCATCGTTTCCTTACGTAAGTTCAGTTAAGCACACAATGGAATTGTTCTATAGTACCTTATCTTTTCTCATCAAGAACAGAAGATCTTCAGCAGAGATCACCCTTGCTCCCCGCAGCTGAGAGACTTCTGCAGCTTGCTGTAACTACAACAATGGAAATGCAGGAAATTGTCTTAGAAATATAAATTACACACAGTACAATCACAATGTCTCAAGACAGATAAATCTACTACCATAAAGACCCCAGGGAATAATCCAGCAATCACGTTACTGCTTCTTAAAGCAAAACTCCCTGGGCTTTAAGATAGCTAAAAACACAATTAAATTAGCTTGTGAGTCCACCTGTAATAGATACAATAAACAGAAATCCTTGATCTCTTTCATGCAAAAGAAAAATCATATGCAGCTTCCAGAAATACATTAATGCACCTGAAAATAATTTTATGAAATCTTATCCTTCCTCTCCATGTGTGCAATGGTCTCGCTCAGTATCACTAGTTGAATAAGTGTATTATTAATCCGAGCTCCCATGCTGGTATGATGTGAAATAGCCCCATTCAGGACTTCAAGATCAACAAAAACAGAAGCTGTTTCTAATATCCAAAGGGAAAAAAAAGACTTTTCGCTTTGGCAAGTCTTCAGTGGCTAAAGGATTCAGTCCATAAATCATAATACTGGACGGCATTAATTTCTTTCCACACTAATTACACACACACAAAAGTGAACTGTATCTGGGATGCACAGGGCAAACACACCGCCTGAAAGCCAGATCCCTTGAATGTCCATCTGGGCTTTCAGAGCTGCAAAGCCCAGAGTTTTCAGGAATTCAGAAGCCCTAGAAACATAATCTTACTTGAAAATGACCTGGAAAATAAAAGAATGTGAAAAATGATAGTTCTAGTTTTTGGCAAAGGCAAACTCCGTTTCTTATTTTGATTAGTTGGAAGAAACATAAAATAGGTCCATCTGACAAAAATCAAGACGCTGGAGCACATGTGAGAAAAATGTGCCTGTAGATTCTTCCAAATTTGATCCAACCATGCTGATTGCACAAACCCAACTCCCCCCATCTTAAGTATTATAAACATATTTACATATGAAAGCTGCTCTCCCACCCCACCAGATGCCTTTCTTTGATGGAGTAAAGCAACAACACACACTCCTGAGAGCTTCTCTGTAAGTGTCACACTGCCATCTTCACTATTGGAAATTAAATGGTGCATTTGTGCCGAAGGACCTCTGTTTGAATGTTTAAACCATTCTGCTAAGTAAATAAGCTTCAAACCTTCTCTGAATGAGCAGACTATAGAAAGGACTCTCAACTCCTCCTGTGTCGGCTTTCCCACTGGATTTCCTGGATACTGGTAGTTGGTATATAAACAGAATCCTATCTAAATATAGAAATTTAAATTTAACTGTGAACCATTTAAGAAGAAACCTTAGGAGGGGGCTGAAAAGATGATATATCTCCCCTGAAAGAAACTTAACAGTTTTGACCATGAGCACACTTTCTCCCTGAAAACTGTTAGAATGTCAGGGAAATGTTTACACATCAATTTTTCAAATTAAAATATTTCCATCACAGCCTTAGATGCATTCAGTCAGTGTGGAGAATATGAGATACATATCTGTTTTTCTGGACACATACAGAGAGAACCAGAAGACAGCAGATAAATATATTTTTATTTTCTTAGATGAAGAAGTGGTATCTACATCAAAAACTCTACAGACATCAGGAATGACCTTCATGCCATCAAAGGAAAAGGTGAAATATGTGTCTCTAAAAGGTTCCCCAGTAAATTAATGGTTTATTTATATCTATACACAATGCTCTCTATAATACTCTCAAAATGTCAGACTGCAAACGCAATAACCAGAAATGTAATAAAATTACATCAGACAAAAGAGCTCACTATTTTGTATCATTTTTCAAAACTATTTGTTATAATAAGCCAAAACATACATATATATATATATATATATATATATATATATATATATATATACTTTAAAATATATATATTTTTAAAGACATGGTTTCATTATGTAGCCTGGCTGGCTTGCTCTGTAGTCTAGGCTGGCTCTGAACTCAGAAGTCCTTTTGCTTCTGCCTCCTGAGTGCTGGGATTAAAGACGGGCCACTACCACACCCAGCTCACCAAGGGCTTTTCTAACTTCCCCCACCTAAAGGAACACTGTCTACCCCATCGCACACACACTATGAGCATTCCCAGTACCTCTGGCTCTGTCCAGTTACTATGCTCTGGACCTGCCGAGGACTGATGTATTCTGGGCTCCAGAATTACCTCTCCTAAATGCTTACCTCTTCTCTAGAAAAGAAGGAGAGGAATTTAGTAACTAGTTAAAGTAACCCATATAAACACATGTATTACCATGGGCTTACTCTCCTAAAATTTCTATGTCTACCAGCACAAGTAAAACCCACTCTTTGTGAATAGTCTGAAGTACAAGTTGGCACCTTGGCACTTCAGATGCATGGGTGCACAGCTCATGATCACTGCGTCCACATGAACACGAGGGGACTCACATCAGGAATGTTCTTAATGTTTCAGGGTGAAAGAAAGATAATTGTATACTCTTTCTAAATTTTTTTCAATGTATTTTTATCTTTAAATTTTGCATATAAGGGATTAGATGATATTGTGCATTTTGGAACAGGTTTCAGTGTTTCTCTTCCCCATCTCTGCTACTTGTAAGTTCCCGTTATAACTTCTCCATACCCAAGTCTCTTTCCTCTTTTATGTTCCACATGCCCTTGTGCCCACCCTCGTCTTCCTCACCACCTACTTGTTTATTTACCTTCTCTTGGTCACTTTTCTGGTATAAAAGTCAGGTGACCCAAACTCAAAAGACAAAAGCAGCATGTTCTCTCTGATACATAGTTACTGGCCAGCAGCGTGTACATGTATATATGAATAAATGGGTGTTAACAGGAATAAAAGGTAATGTTTTACGTTTATTTATTCATGTGGGATGTGTGTATGAGTGTGGACATACATGCAGAAGTCAGAAGATAACTTGCAGGAGCTGGTTCCCTCCTTCCACCACATGTGTTCCAGAGACCAAACTCAATGTCAGTCTTGGGCACAAGGCCCTTCACATGCTGAGCCATCTCACTGGCCCATGATCGTCTTCTCTTACTAAATAATCTAGACTTTTAGTTTGCAAAAATAAATGGAAGTTAAATTTGTCTAGCAGTAATTGAAATAAGACTATGAAATAAGACTACATCTTTCATTTTTACAAAGAATATTTAATAGTATAAAATATGCTAGAAATTGTGCCATAGACCAATACTTTAAACCTAACGGCTAATTTAATAATCAATTGACTTTTCTTAACTTGGTAAAATTGGTACTCAGGAACTTAGTAAAACATTTTTCAGAAAGACAATATAATTCGACCATGACAATAGTCCAGTCAAGGTGCTTTAGTCTCTTCAGATTAGGACTTTTGTTCAGCAAGGGGTGGTGGTACCTCGTTACAACTATTGCAAAGTTGAGAAAATCCACCTAACATTAAAACTCACTATGTTTATATTTTAAATAGCTCAGAATACTTTATTGGGAGGCTGATCCTATTAAAGGGTACAATGTATCACACATGCCATCTCAAGTGTGTTGTTGATTTGTTTAAGATAGGCTCTCTGTGCATCACTGGCTGCTCCAGCATCCTACTTTGTAGGCAAAGCTGACTTTGAACTTGATCCTCCTGCCTCAGTTTCCTGGGTTTGGGGATTACTGGTATATGCTACATCTAGTTTAATCTTTCATCCTATACGTAAACATTTCGACTTCTCATTATTGCCAATGACACTAACATGGGGGTTTTCTCCCCTTGAGAAATCTTCAGTAGTATCTGAGTGTGCTTCCCTGACCTGCCAGGCCTGGGAATGTGCTTTCTACTCCAGTGTTTATCCGAAGTCAGGCCTTTGGGGATTTTTATTGACTAGTGTCTACATTTCAGTGTTTCCAAATGATTATGGGTCATGGATTTACCAGCTACAGCCATCTTCCTAGTAGTATAGTTATTATATACTGGAACTGTGTCAGGTATAAATATTAAATTCTAGTTAAAATTCTTTCTAAAAAGTTTATGACAGAAAAAGTCAAATGCAGTCTAGGTTTCCTACTGACTGGAGTGAGTACCCATATCGCTTCCAACATTCAAAGTGTTTCTACTAGCAACCACTTCCAACTTTTGCTCTCGTTAGAAAGAAATAGAATCTACTGGGATAAGTTTACAATGCTTTATTTTCGGTTTAACTAGTATAGACGGCCTTACTCTGAGGCTGACGATTTAGTGATCTCCGAGGCTCTGAATTAACCACCATCTTCCTCTCCTTCATATGCTGCCCTTCTGTTGAATGTAAAGCTGGTACTCACTTAGGCAGATAATCAAATTTCTCTTTAGAACTGATTTTCTTGGTTGTCCTTGATGTTAATAATTACCTTGTTCCCCTTTCTTTCCCTGGTTTACTACTATTCTGTGAACCTGCTAGGACCTCATGTAAGACCCGGGTGGCCCTGAACCCCCCCCCCCCCCCCCCCCCCCCCCCAGCACTGCTGGGACCTCATGTAAGACTTTATTCTCACCTCTGCTCTCTCGAACTTCACTCCCTTATCTGGAGAGGACACATTCCTGGAAAGATTCACTTTTACTTTCTGAGCACAGACATAATAATGGCTGTCTTAAAATCCTTGTCCACTAAGTTCAGTGTCTATTATATTTAAGAGGCCATCTTTATTGACTTTTCCCCTTGAGTATGTAACTCATGCTTTTCTGGCATTTTATATTTTTCAGTAATCTGTGATTTTAGCAGATACTGAGATGGACAGGTTCTCAGGACTCTCGACTGTATGTTCCTTAAAAGAATAGCGATCCTTTCATAAGCAGACAGTTAACTCAAACAAACACAAATCACAATGTTCTTCTCTCTCTTGTGGTTAGTTATGGCTGAAAAACACCTGTTAAGTTTTTGAAGAAAGGGTCCTTGGGAAATAAATATTTAAAGATGTGTATGTCTGCAGGTGTGTTTAGATAGGGCTGGCAAGATGACTCCGTGGCTAAGAGCACTTGCGGCCAAACACGACAACGTGAGTTTGACTCCCAGGGTCCCACAA